AGGGCTCCAGAGCAAACTCATTTATGCAGTAGCCAAGTCACTCGCTCACAACTTTAATGCCAGTCGCTCACAAAGTAGAATTTTGGCTCACAGGACTCCACAGCTTAGAGGGAACATTGAGCCCCTCTGGGCTAGACTGGGGCGGTTGCGGCGGCAACTTCGGCGTCCCATTTGTTGCTCGCTGGAGACATTTCCAGGAACGGTTGTCTCAGCGCCGCCGCGCGACCTCGGGCAAGTGGCTGAACCCCTTGGCGCCGCAGCTGTGCTTCCCCCTCTCTTCGGGAGTCGGTTCTCTCTAACTCGGGGGTAGTGTTCCCTCTAAGCCGTGGAGTCTTGTGAGCAAAGATTGTACTTCGTGAGCTGCTGGGATTGAAGTTGTGAGCGGGAAATGTGGCTACTGCATCAATCAGTTTGCTCTGGAGCCCTCCTTCCTGAGCGGAGACAAAAATTTGTGAGCTGGAGGCTAAAAAACTGTGAGCTAGCTCACACTCACTCAGCTTAGAGGGAACACTGCTCAGGGGGGGTTTGCTTTCGACGAAGCGCGCACAGAGGCAGGATCCGGGCGAAAACGGCCAGCTGATGCTTGGGGTAGCTCCGGCTAGCATATGCCGGAATTAAATGTGTGCTTTCTGGTGTGTTTTTTCAGAAACCTTGTTTACTACAGGTCTGTGCGCTTTATAGCTGTCTGTGAGTACCGTGTGTAGCCAATCAGGTTTTGTATGTTTGTATAGGTGTTTAATTTTGCTTCACTCGTACGTACGTAGGGGGAACAGTGGTCCTTGCGTGCAAATATAATGTGGTGAAGTGCTCTTCCCTGTTAAATTTACTTTTGGCAGTATAGATGTGCAATAACACCAGGTTAACTTCTCGTACAGGGAATATTGGCTGTGTCGTAACTTTTGGCGCTTGTCTTTTGTGTTGTGTATGGGGGAATTCTTGTCCGGATGAATACAAACACTATGGAGAAATGGCAGCAACGAAGTGTGATTGACCTGTACCTTGGTGAGCCAAAAAATGAGAAGGCAGAAGGTTAAGTAATTGCCACCTGCTCTTACATCAGTGTTTGTTTTTTGAGAGCATGGCACATATGCCATAAGAACATAAGAGAAGCCATGTTGAATCAGGCCAACGGCCCCTCCAGTCCAACACTCTGTGTCACACAGTGGCCAAAACCCAGGGGCCATCAGGAGGTCCACCAGCAGGGCCTGAACTCCAGAAGCCCTCCCACTGTTGCCTCCCCCCAAGCACTAAGAATACAGAGCATCACTGACCCAGACAGAGGGTTTCCTCCATACCTTGTGGCTAATACCACTCATGGACCTCTGCTCCAGATGTTTATCCAATCCCCTCTGGAAGCTATGCTTGTAGCCACCCCCACTTCCTGTGGCAGTGAATTCCATGCTTTAATCACTCTTTTGGTGAAGAAGGACTTCCTTTTATCTGTTCCAAGCCTACTGCTCCTTCATTTCAAGGTTCCCGCAAATCCATGGATTGTGAGAAAGGGAGAAAAGGACTTCTTTCTCCACCTTCTCTATCCCGCGCATAATTTTGTAAACCTCTCTCACATCACCCCCCTCAGTCCCCCGTTTCTCCTGCACGGCTGTTAAAAGGTTCCAGGGAGCTCAAAGCAGAACAGAGCCCTTCCCCAGGTAATCTACATATTTTGGGAGGCATTCGGAATTTGATGATAAAATGTGAGATTCACTCCTTAGGTCCTTAAAGTGGCCCACAGCAAACAGGCATCAAATGAGGCACAACCCAACTACAACAACTAATACTCTCCAATCTGTGAGGCTTCCCAAAGAAAACAGAGGGGCCCCAAAGGTAGCATCCAAGATGAGGGAGAAACGTCTCCAAAAAGCACAGACCAGGTTCAAAATTAAAACTCACTTATGTGAGAATTCATTTTTCCCTTGGCAGCATATCATAAACGTTAATAAAATTGCCTTCCCTGGGGTGCTTTTTTAATGTTATAGTTTTTATGTGTACCGTGGACATTTGAGGATCAAGAATGCACAATTGTGGTGAATAGACATAAGGAAATTGGACTCCATTCCAAACTGACATGCGGTGGGGCTCTTGAAGACTTTGGCATATATCCTGTCACTCTACTTCGCAAAATTTGAAGGCTTTCCCCAGCCTGGGGTAGACCATATTTCAGTGAGAGAGGTGGAATGAGAGTCTGGAATGAGTGCCGGTAAACGGTATTTGGTTATGAGAAGCTAGGTAACTTTTTAAAAGAGAAACATTTCATAGAAATCTGAAGTCTTGTGGATTTTAGGATACATCTATAAACAGTTTGAGGTGGGTCAGGAGATTGGATACTGATTTACATATGTTACTTATAGTTTGCTTTCTCACAGAGACTCACAGAGCCTCATCCAGACACAGTGTAAATCAATAAGGTAATACATCTAATAAGCAATGCAATAGGACTAGGAATTGTAGAGATTTGAAATCTAGCTGTCATTTGAACAAATCATAAATATTAAACATGACATGTTAAACAATGCAGAACATGGTATTACATCATTAGATAAACTGCAACTTTTTCCGGGGCAATGTGTTATGATGTTGTCCTGTTTCCTGTATGAAAATGCCCTCCTGAACAATTCTGTTTTACATAGGCTCCCATGCTCCTGGCATTTCTCAAACTTTCTGACATCTTTTAGGCAGGCCATTCCACAGAGTGGGGGTCACTTCAGGGAAGGCACATGTACAGGCAGTTGTTTGATCTTACACATCTGCAGCATGTCATCTACAGAAGGCCCTGCTCAGATGAGCCAAGTTGTCACAGTGGTGAAGAGGTGAGCTTGCAAATATATCGGTCCAGCACCATGAAAGGCTTTGTATTTGATAGCAGTACCTTTCCTTGAGCTTGGTAATGGACAGCCAATGGAGTGGCTGCAGAATTGATGTCATCGGCATGCTTTATTTAGCACCCAATAATAACCAAGCTGCAGCTTTCGGCACCAACTGGAGCCTCTGAGTTGCTTCTAAGTGGAGACCTACGTAGAGTGCATTATTGTAGTCTAGTCTTGATGCTATCATGGCATGTATCCAGATGCCTAGCTGAGTCAAGGCAGTATGCTATTTTTCAAGCTAAACTAAGTTGGAAGAAAGCTTTTTTTTTTTGCAGCTGAATTAACTTGCTTCTCCAGCACTAATGCTGTGTCCAGCACAACCCCTAGACGCGTGCCAGAGGCGGCACTCAGAGCCCTCTCAGTGGGCACGCGTGCCATCGCCCCAGCCAGGCCCAGACCGTCATTAAAGTGTGGAATTCTCTGCCAAATAATTTTAAGTAAATGAAAGCATTTGGGATTGATTTCCTTACTTTGTTTGGATCATCTTACGTTAATAATGTATGAGTCGTTTTTTCTAAACTATAAAACATCAGTATTCAGGTTAAATTGTCGTGTTGGCACTTCGCAATAAATAAGTGGGTTTTGGGTTGCAGTTTGGGCACTCGGTCTCTAAAAAGCTCACCATCACTGCCCTAGACTCTTAACCAAGTCAGCAAGAGTCAGCTGAACCCCATCGGAAGTGAGCAGCACAGTGACCTTTGAGATCTCCATTTCCCCATCTGTCTTGCCAGAGTTCAGTTTCAATTTGTTCACTCTCAGCCATTTTGCTACAGCAGTCGGGCTTTCTGCAAGACCTCTACCACGTGACCAAAAGATTGGGAGAGGTGCAGAGCTGGATGCCGTCAGCATACTGGTGGCATCCCATTCCAAAACTATGAATAATTCCTCCTCGGGTCTTTACGTAGAGATTTGACTAGCATGGGGGGATACGACTGGACCCCGAGGAACCCGACTGGACCGATTCCACATTGACAATAACTGGTCTCCATTGAAACCGAGCAAAGTTTGAGTCCAGTGGCACCTTTAAGACCAACGAAGTTTTATTTACAGTATAAGCTTTTGTGTGCATGCACACTTCATAATTGAAGGTCAAAGAGGAAGGGGACGGCAAAGGATGAGATGGCAACAAACATGAAATTAAGCAAATTCCGGAGCACGACGGAAGACAGGAGGGCCTGGCGTGATGTGGTCCATGGGGTCGCAAAGAGTTGGACTTCTGTGCGACTGAACAACAACATACTTCATCAGATACACAAAAGCTTATATCATGAATAAAACTTTGTTGGTCTTAAAGGTGCTATTGGACTCAAACTTTGTTCTGCTGCCTCAGCCCAACACGGCTACCCCACCTGAATGGTCTCCAATAGCAACTCTTTGAGTTCAGTCCATGAGGAACGACTTAAACAAGTCTGTTCGGTGCATCTAGTTTCTGTGAGCTGTGGATGTTCTGAGGATCAGTGCTCCCTGCATTTAGAATGAACAGGTAGGATGAAAGGGGACCCATGCGGGTTGACCTGCTGAAACAAAGTTGTCACTTCTCCTCCCCACCTCTCCCCACCCCTGCCTGCCTGGGGCCAGGGAGGGCCTTGGCGGGGCTTCCTCGCACTCCCGCCGTCCTTGCAGGTCAACCGCCGGGCCCCTCATGGGGCTCGGCAGTGGAGCTGCAAGGCTGACGGCGGCCGGGACCATTGGGGGCGGGGTGTGTGG